CAGAGGAGTTAAGGCCGCAACTGGTAGCGATGCAATACAGATGCGGTGTTCATGCTACTCAATTATCGCATACATCTCATAAAGAGAAGAAAGCCTTAACATCGACAAGATCTGGGAATGCGGCCCCTCAAACTCATCACGAAGCCCCATAAAGAATTTGTGAATCTTATCCTTCTTCTCTCGAGTATGCAAGAATGCTGCACCCTTGGGCTCTAAACTCAGAATAGCAGCAAGAGGACGTAGAGTCTCATACTCAAGTCAGTACTAGGTCAAATAGCCATAATAATCCTGAACAGTCATATCTCTTTGCCGAGCATATGATAGATCTAGAGAAAGCTCATAAACATGAACTCTCCATTCTGACTGGGAATACATATTTGATAATGCGCTCCATATTTTTGAAACAGAGCTATAAAACTGGTGAATCTTGCAAATAGATGGCTCCATTGAGCCAAATAACCATTCAAGAATGGTGCAGTTCTCAGAGAACTATGCAGAATATCCAGGGTTGTCATCAGCTAGCTTTAGGTGAGATCCCGTTAGCTAACCAAGCTTCCCTACACAGCCTAAGAAAAAATGAAATGAGCGAGACTACTCAGCGAAATTACGGCCATTTAACAACTATGCCGTAACTTTTTGAGAGATCATACTTGACAGTGCTGATAATGCAACTGTGCCAATAGGTACTGTATACTAGTCAAACATAAAAATAAAAGTACTAATAGATGTCTCAACGGTAGAGGTGTCAACAGTAGGGGTCTCAAGTCCCTTAGTAGTAGTCATATCAAAAATAATACGTGGACACCGTGACAGAAAAAGAAAAAAAAAACTCAAACATAAGTAGAGGGACAAAATATGGGAGAATAATATACCTTCAATCGAACAGTAGTGACAGATAAAGAGGGTCCAGAAAGCTCCCAAATAATCAGGTCACGGTACTCAGAAATTCAGTGAATATATAAGTGATCTACTGCATCAAAAACAGATCAACAGAGAAGAGGATTCAACCCCTCTTAAAAAGGTCCTAGATGTTGCAACTCCAGGAAAAATAAGTTAGTGGTGCAAAAGAGATGGCGGCACTACGAAGAGTGCGAAGCACGAATGCAGGGGGCTGGTATCGCTGATGGATGGATTTACTGCTGGGGCAGTAGAGCTAGTTTGGTTGGGCAATGGGCTAGGTTGTGGCTGGGTGGGTTCGCTTGTTTTGCTGGGTTGTTGGGTTTCTAGGCTTTGGAGTTTTGGGTTTAGTGGACTCATATTTTTGGGTTTTGGGTATGCAGGAGTTTTGGGTTTTATTTTGTTGGAGTTTGGTGTGTGTGGGTTAGTAGTGGACTGGTTTGGCTGTTGGTGGTTGCTGGTTGGTTTGATGGGGTTGGTGCTTTATGGATTGAGGGAAGTATATCGGTCAGTGGGTTTTGCTGGTATATGTCGATGGGTGGTATATGTCATTGGTAGGGGTATAGCTGATTTTGTTGTTGATGTGTTATGGGTTTGTCGATGTAATGGGGTTGTCGGTGTTATAGGTCTAGTTTGTCGGTGTTATGGGGCTGTCAGTGGCTGGGCAGTTTATTGGGGGACTAGTATGGGTTTATCGGTGGACTGGTTTATCACTGGGTTGCTGTCGATGGAAGGATGGTGGCTAACCAGTAGGCTGTTGCAAGGAACTGGCTGTCGGAGTTGGGTGAGCAACGGTAGGTTTGTTTCGTTGGTTGTGATGATTGGCGGAGGCTAGCTTTAGGGTTAGGATTGGTGGATCTGATTCTAACTAGAGATATCTGTGAGTGAAAAGGGATATAAACTAAGTGTAGAGTCCCCGTATATATAGTCAATAAAAGTCACAATAAGGATAAAAAGGTAAACAGGAAAAAAACTCTAATAAACCCTAACAAACTAGGTTGTTATAACTCTTAACACGTAAGAAGCACAAACACGCCTGCAACTCTCTCATAGACACATGCACACAAACACACAGACACATACATTCACACAGTCATACACTCATAAATATGCACACACCACAAATTTCTCACACAACACACACAAACACCTACAACTCTCCTCTCTCTCACACATACACACACTCAAATTTTATAGTTATGCACTCACACACACACATCCCTTACCTACAACACATGCACATAGAGGTTCATGCTATCTCACATAGAACAGAAAGATTCACACACACACACGGGCACACACTGAGTGTCACACATTCGCACGCTAATAGTCAGACACTTTGTTAATTTGTAGGATTTTTTATTTTGGTTGATTTGATGAAATGATAATAAATTGTAAGTTTATTTGGTGAAATTGGATGAGTTTGTGATTTGGTGGAGTTGGATGTTCATTTGATTAAACTGGAAGTTAAATTGTTGAAATTAGATGTTAATTGGATGTCAATCACATGAAATTGGATGTTAATTTGATGGACTTGGATATTTATTTGATGAGAATTGTGTTGAATTTAAGAAATTGAATTCCAAATTGATGCAATTGGTTGTTGATGTGATAAATTTGGATATTTATTTTATCAAATGGATATTGATGTGCTGGAAATTGTATTGAATATATGAAATTAAATGTCTTATTTATTCACATTCAAAAAAAATGTCTTATTTATGAAATCTAATGTTCTGCACTCATATTGGCAATTTCATCAAATACTTCTATTAAATATTAACAATTTTATGTGTTACAAAGTGCTATGGGCATGGACAATGGCTAGTATATGATATGACTAATAAATAGTTGGAATTATGATTTCTGTGGCACAGGGACTGTATGAATATGGCATATGCAGCTTATTCTTTCCTGGGATAGAGGTTCCTGGCTGGTTCAACCATAAAAGTAGGGGCCCCTCAGTGTCTTTTACTATACCTTCAAGTCCTGAATTCAGTATCCAAGGCCTGAATGTGTTATTTGTCTATGCATTGGACAACAACAAGGAAGATTGGGATTTTCACAATTCAAAAGCTTTGTTGCCTCATCCCTTATTTATAAAAATCAGCAACAATACCAAGGGTTTAAAATGGATCTATGGCCCTTCGTGCTTCGGCATTCCGAAAGGTGATGAACGGATGACATGGTTAGTCTATTGGAAGCTTGGGAACCACTTGGAAGGTGGTGACAAAGTAAATGTTTCAATGCTTGTAGATGTTGGTTTTCAAGTAAAGGAGTGTGGTATCAGAGTCGTGTTCGAGCCGGAAGAGAACAAGGGTACCCAATATAACAGCCCCTATTCTTGTGGTCCCTGTGTCTCTCTCTGCGTATCACCTGACAAAAGGAGTGCACTTCCTATGCAATCAAGCATTGCCAATGGTTTATGACTCATCTAGCTCGATTTTGTATGACTTCTTATTTAAGGACTCTGATGAATCTGCAGGTTTGTAGCTTCTTAGGTTATTCATCTTCAACTTTTAAGAGAAATATTCGACTAGCTTTAGCCAATAACAAATTTCGATGATTTGACTAATTTTGACTCTATACCCGAAACACTTAAAAAATGGATCTACATTTATGTCGAATAATTCTGATGATGTGTGAAACTAAGTATAAGCGAGCTGAGCTGAGTGAGCTCTATGTGAAGTGAATGAGCTGGGTATGTTTGTACAAAGTAACAATAAGTGAGAACACAACGAAGTAAGTGATTCACCAACCTATAGACTAGTCCACTGTAATAAAGACTCTTGTTTCTCTAGTTTGTATTACTTGAAGAAGAAGATTATATTCTCTAGATATTACAATTGCACACCCTTTGGGCACGACAAGGGTCTGCCTATTTATACACTAGGCAGTGTGGTCCTCAAGTAATGGTGTGGTTCTTTAGTTTGTTAGGATAATGGAGGAAATATTTGGCCGTTAAAGGCACTCTTCCCTGGGTATGACATAATAGTCTAGAAACTTGTGACGTGACACTCAAGAGATTAATTCTTCATTTCTAGGATAAGATTTGATGGCTTCATTCCTCTTCTATCATTTCCCATTGTGAATTAAGCTGCTTCAGGTACTATCAAGCTCATTTGATAACTGTTGAGCTGGTTTGACAGTTAACGAGTTAGTTCATGCCTTAGCTGACCTGGATCCAGATGGGTCAGGCCAGCCAGGCTAGGATTAGGTTAGTCAATATTTTTCTTGCTATCAACTCATTTATCATATGAATTTATTCTTGGTATCATCAGTTGCCCCATAACCTTGAGCTTGTACAGTCCTGAGCTGGGAGTTGGTTGGGACTAAGCTCCAAGGGCTTTGTTGAGGCTAAATTTATTCAAGTATAGCTAAGCTATTGAAATCGAGGTAAATTGAGGTCGTGTCTATCTGATCGTGCTCCAAGGATTTCAGGTAACTAAAAAGATGTGACTCTACCGTTACTCATTCTATGTGCAGTCGTGTAGGCATGGAACATGCTGGGCACCTCTTTTTTGGGTTGTGCCAATCAAGAGGTGACATGTGGCCTTGCGTGCAGGAGCATTAATTGCACTTTGAGCGCATTACATGTGCATGATGGAGAAGAAACAACCAAAATTCACACTATTAAACCCCTTCTCTCCCATTGTAGCATATCACTTGGCATTTGTCTTCTTGTTTCTTCTTCTTCCATTTTGTAAGAGAGAGAAATAGGGAGTTATTCGAGATAGATTAGGGAATCCAACCTTTCATTGTCGTCAATCCTTCTACCGGTGTCTAGCATCTTCATTGCCCTCCTAGTTCTGTCAGCTATGTGTTAGGTGTATTCTTTTTCTCTTTCCCAAATATGGATCCTTTCAACCCTTGTTGGTGATCCCAAGGATTTCACTTCTTAGTTCTTAGGTTTTATTCCCTTCCATTCTTTATAGATCAAATTGTCTTATCTAGGATATCTATGGTCCGTAGCTAGTGCATTTATCCTAGAGTAATTGAGGATTGTTCTTTGAATATTCCTCAGATTTACCTCAGACATGGTTGCCTTGTCATCCGTGTTGAAAATATGTCTGCTTCCTCCTTTGTTACCCCCCATTTCTATCATGTTTGGGCACGATTCTTGTCAAGCTAAGGTCATCTTGTCTTACAAAGTAGACATAGTTAACCTAGACGAGGTTTTAGTGGATAAAAATTCCTTGGCCATTATTAGATCCGACAAGGCTTCTTCTTGGCGACTTGAGGTGCCACTTCCTGAAGATGTAGGGTCCGAGGAGGTGATCCCCGAAAAGAAAAAGAAGAAGAAGATAAAGGTAGTTAAAAAAAGAAAGGTAGTTTCCCCGAGTAAAGCTCTTTCCTTGTCCTGGTCTGGCCCTTCCAAGAAAAGGAAAGGGTCAGCTCATGACCAAGACGTCTAGAGCTTGGTTACTACCTTGATTCGCAACTGAGTTACTGAGAGTCGAGCTCTGGCCATTAGGAGTCTTTAGCAGTTTTCCAAAGGCATGGTGGTGTATGCTACATCTTGGAGGATCGTTACAACATCGACCTTTCAGGGAAGGTTTGTTTTTTTGACTCAGCTTTTGGGATTGGTCTGAGGTTCCCAATGCATCACATCATCCGACTTGTGTTTCGCCATTTCAATTTGTATCGTGCTAGGATGTCGCCAAACGATTAGGGTTTACTATTAGGTATGCTTGTCTTTTGGTGAGACAACGTTATTGGACCTGCTCCCACTATTCCTGAGCTCATCCATTTCTTCCACCTAAAATCTTCCCTTTTTTATGTTTGTTTCAACTTTGCCAAGAAGGTCAAGGTGGATGAATTGATTGTTGGAACTACTTCTTCTCATAAGGGTTAGAAGGAGGACCTTTTTTTTTGTGTCTGGGGATGCCTGGGAATTCAAGGGGAAAGACCAAGAGCTTCTTTGAGTTCCTCGGATCTAGGAGTCTCCTAGGAACTTTAGTAAGTTTGACCTTTGTGACATAGCTTATTTTATGTTCAGTGTTTCCTAACCTGAATTGCCTTTGATTTGGTCTACAGGACACACGTCTATTTTGAATAGATTTGAAAAGATCCATGTAGCTCAGGCTAGGAAATGCGAGGTGAGGCACTACAAGGAACTCATAACCCCTAAGAACTTAGCCAAGCATGGGCTAGGTCCCCAGTTCAAGCATTCCCAGCTAGAGAAGCCAAAACCATCCAGGCCGAGGAAATTACTTCTGGTAATCATCTTCTTCTTTTTTTACAAATTCTTTACTTTTGCTTTGCTAATACTAATAATTTTTTGTCTCCTCATAATTTTTTGTGATGGCCCCCAACAAGGAGATTCTTAAGAAGGCCTGGGCTAAGAAGAGACAGGCCAAGTTAGTTAAGGAGTCTGAAGCTTCCAAGCAGCTTCCTCCTCGTGATGTGACCCTGCGGAGCTCTAAGTGGACTTTGCTTTCCAACCTTCCTTTGTCTCAAGTGGGGGCTGAAGGGGTCGTATCTAGAGAAGGGCAAGAAGAAAAGGCCAAGAACAAGACCATTGATGAGCTACAGAAGGAGGTTGCAAGCAGTTATGTCGATGGGTATGAAGAGTTGAGGGACCAAGTGAAGAATAAATATCCTCAGGACAAATTTCCAGATCTTGACTTCGATTCTCTCGATCCTTCACTTTCTGAAGAGGAGGCTGAGGAGAATGAGGGAACAACTGAAGGAGGTATAGGGGAAAGAGTTGCAGATGACCCAAGTACTTCTGCAGGGGATAACAATATGGTTGTCCAAATGCTTAAACAGATTTTGGCAAACCAAGAGGAGTGGCAAAAAGAAATGAATGAGTGTCAACAAGAAATGCAGAAGTCTCTCAAGCAAATCCGTGAATACACAAAAGAGTCTCTCAAGCAGCTCGATGGAGACACGAAGGAGTCTCTCAAACAACTCCGTGAAGACACCAAAGACTCTCTTAAGCAGCTTGAGATTAAATTGTTACTGCAAAAAAAAATGAGTAGTACTTAAATTTAGTTGTTGGATTGTAGATAAAATTTTAGTTGTTGGATTGTAAATTTAAGTATGTAATTTTGTTGATGCTATGTAAATTCAAAGTAGATGTCATGGTATTTTGTTGATGGTATGTAAATGCAAAGTGGAAATCATGGTGTTTTGTTGATGCTATGTAAATTCAAAGTGGATGTCATGATGTTTGGTTATGCTATATCAGTAATATAATGTTAGTAATACACAATACAGTTGTTTTGTTGATGCAAATTTAATGCACACAACATGTTGAGTAGGGAAGCTCATAAAAGAGAAAATGTCTCCATGATATTGGTTCCTTGATGCAGACAACATGTTGAGTAGGGGACACACTTTGTCCATTCAAAAATGAGTTCAAGGGTCTTCATCTTCATATGTTGGTAAGGGTTGTTGTGATTCACCAGCCTATGAGAAAGGCATCTCGAGCGCTGGTTGTTGTGATTCATGAGGAAAATAACGGAGACTGTGTGGTTGGTGTGATTCATCTAGCTATGAAAACGGCATGTTGTCATATGGATCATTCAAATGGGGCGTAAGTAGTGGACATTTTCTAATAGTATGTCCGATACCCCTATATTTACTACACCTTCGTGGGGTAATTGAAATGTTCTTACACCTGTCCTAAATTTCCCTTAGTCTTCACAATTTTTGGGTCACCCATGCAGAATTTTTCATTTTGCACATTGATATTGAAATGGGATATTTAAGACTCATCATAACTTCTGGCTACTGACTCGTGATGGGCTTGTAGAGCAGAAGTTTGTTGCTACACCATATTTCTCACGCTGCTTGTCTTTGACATTGATTATGAAGCATAGTAGCACATTTTACTGCATATAGACATGAGTCCAGTATATCTTGTAGAAATTGATAGGGTGCTCAATGTATGCAACACGTCATTTGTTTGATAATCGAATTTTACTGTAATTGTCCACCTTTTCATCACACTGCTATGAGGGAACTCTTTAAGGTGCTCACACTTCATAATGGCAATCATGTGAGAATAGGGAATTCGAACATAATCAAATTTCATGCAATTACATTTAAACGTATAAATGACAGGATAATATTGAACAATCCACCTAGATTCAGGTTGTGTGAATCAGGACAAGTAATAACTTCGATGTGTTACGCTCTCAATTTTATGCACTATAAAAAATAAGGCTTCATCCTTCAATTGATCACAAAGTTTGAAGAACATTTGTCTGGTATATATCTTGGAGGCTTTCTCCTCTAAGCATTTTAATGCTCCTGTGAGCACTGACTCAAAGTGTTCCGACTCATAGTCCGCATTGGCCTCGGTCTCTTTGATACTTACCATGCCCCTATCATACTGCCTAACAAACTTGAACAATCTTTGGCGTGTTTTTAGGAAGCAATTTAGAAATGCATTCATACTTTCAGACTGTTGCATGCTTGTTAGTCCATCAAAAAATATCCCCTGCAAGTATGCTTCAGCCTATTTGAATCTCTTTGTATAAACTTCCGCAATCCAATTATTAGTCTCCAATCCAAATGATTCAACCATTGATTTCCATAGATCTTCAAATTCTTCCGGTGTATATCGAGTGCACATACATCTCTTGAATGCTTGGACAAAATTTTCAGAATTTATATTTGAGAAAGTATTTTGGGCTAAATGCCACCTACATAAGCGGTGTGTTGCTTGTGAAAATATTATTTCTATTGCAGTAGCCATTGCTTTATCCCCATCTGTAATAATGGAGTTCGACATCTTATTATCTATTGCATGAAGAAAAGTAGCTATCACCCACACATATGTTTCCTCAGTCTCATTTGAAAGCAATGCGCAACCAAATATAGTTGTAGCATTATGGTGATTGACACCTGTAAATATCACAAATGCCTTCTTATAAACATTCGTTCGATATGTAGTATCAAACATTAAGATGTCACAAAAAACACTTTTAGTCTATTCAAGATGTCGAATCCGCCCAAAACAAAAAAAAATAGTGAATTGTCTTCAGTGATGTTATACTTGAAATAGAATAACGGGTCCAACTCTTCTTGGGCGCTCAAGTACGCCAATGGTTCTCTGCATCACCGTCTGTCATTTCTTCTCTACATTAGGATGCTACATCATTTTACAAATCCTTTGTGGTAAATCCAATATTTTAATATCCTCCTGATTGTTGCAACAAAAAATCTCTAATTTGACTTGTCCGTATACCAACATTATGCAATGATATAGCTTGTGCTCTGTCAGGGCTTTTATGTGATCGGAGAAATGGCACGCCACGTGGTGGAACCAATGGATGGTTGTGCTATCTAACAAAATCCTTACAACTCATTTTCTCCTCTTCCTATCATACTTCACACGGAATGTTGCAAAGCATCCAACCCTTGTTAAGCTCTGTGGTTCCATTACTCGTTCGACGTGGTCCGCATTCTTTGAGGACCAATACCCTTCTCTCGAACAAACCCACCTTATTGAAATTGGCATGTGGTTCTTGTCATACTTTTTTTTTGACCCTCTTCCAATCATAGGTTCTTGTCATACTTAGGTCATCTTTTCAAATGCTAAACCCCGTATATCTTCCATAGGTATTAGAAAATGCTCCTGCCTCGTCGTTTGAATCAAATGTCACAAAAACTTCTTTGGATTTTAACTCATCCATCATTTGTTGTTGCATGTTCTCATTTTCATAATTTTCAATATCATGTAACATGTCCTCCGTTACATCTTCATTTAGGTCAGCGTGCTTTCCTTTTTGTAAATAAGTTGAAGACATTTGTGTTGCTTATACCTACACAAAAATAATTAATAACAGATGCATGGTATATATCAAATGTTCGACCAATTAACTAATATATGTACATAATGAAAAAAAAAAAAAAAAACTAGTGTTTTGACAATATAAGTTTATATAGTGCTCTCCTTTCCCATATTGCCTATCAAAATTAGTAAACATTCATAAAGAAAATTATGCAATTAACATCAAACACATAACAGTTACCTCACACACCTAATTGGATGAATGATGATGGAATGGAGGTTTTAAACGTTCCAGTGAAATTGTATGGAGGATGAAAGAATAAATAGTGAAATTGTATGGGGGACAAAGGAATAAAGAGTGAAATTGTAGGGAGGATGAAGAAACATTGGATTGAAGTTGTAGAATGTTCAGAAAACATAACTACGTTAGGTGGGAGACATTAATATCATTTATTTCATAATTACTGATTATATTTTGGCTGGCAAATTTCATTGGCTTGCATTTATTATGTGATGCGATTTTGGAAAAAAAATGGGATAAATTGTTACTTATGTGGCTGTTGCGTGTATTACAACATTTTTGGGATGGGGTTACTACTTTTTTGGATTGTGTAACATTATTTTGGGTTAGGGTTTCAAATTTTTGGGGTTGGCTTTAAGCTTTGGTAGATCCAACAATGTGGGACCCCGAACGTCATTACAACTTTTTTGAAGTGGGTTTTAACTTTTATGAATTACGTTACAATATTTTGGGGTAAATGCCAACATTTATGGATTATATTATTTGGGGTGAGGTTTCAACTTTTTTAGATAGGGTTATAACCTTTTAGGTGGGTTCCAACTGTTGGGGGTGGGGTTCCAAAAGGTTGCTACTGCTCTGGATTTTGTTACAATATTTTGTGTTGGCCTTTCAACTTTTTTGGGTGGACTTTAACAGCTTTAGTGGATCCCTAAATGTGGGCAAGTATTGTGGATTAGATTATAATAATTGGGGTGGGGTCCAACTTTATGGATTAGATTATAATTTTTTTGGGGTGAGATTTCAACTTTTTTGGATTGTGTTACGATATTTTGGGTTGAATTTTCAAATTTTTGGGGTTATTGTTATATATGTATATATACATACTAGCATCTAGACTACATAGTATCATATTCATGCCATGCCATTTTGAGTAAAAAAATATATTTATTAATACTAACTTAATCTATTTTATTAAACGTGACAAATGTCTTGACACTAATTCGACAATTTTTTTTAATCGTGTCGTATACAAATTGAAGAGTATTTATGGGAGGTGGGGGAATGGTTCAGCGAAAAGAGTTTACTCTTGCCCACAAGTGATTACGGGTTCAAACCTCATCACCTCCCTCTACCCCCGCTTCCGTCGCCAAACAAAATATGAATGGTACCCACGGAAAATGGGAAAAATTACTTTTTTGGGGGATTGAAAAAAATAAATCTAGTTGATCTAACAACCGTAAAAAATCCAAACTTGACTTGGATAATTTAATATCAAAGGATTAGGTCAAGAAAAGAACAGTCTCACCAAGTCTTTTCTTATAATTTATTTTTTCCCAAGTCTTTTTTATTTGTTGGTAAACAGATAGACTAATTAAGAATTTTGTATGCCTTACACATGCAAATGAATTCTTTATCCATTATATTGTTTTTTGGTGACCTAATCCATAATTATTGTTGTCTTGAATCATTGAATCTCTTAAAATGAATTGAATTTTTTATTCCATTACCCTAAGCCACCTACCATAGTTTCTATTTTTTTTTTTTTATCAAAAACTATTACAGAGAGAAGGTGACAAAGTTCGAATCCACAACATTAAAGATTAACAAATTGCAAGTTGTTTTATGTGGTTGTTGGGGACCATACACACAATTATTGCCGCATTTAATCTTTGTATATGCTCAAAATGATTTGGACTTTAATTATAGAAAGCATAGATTTCAATGAGAGATTAGATATACATATATGCATACATATGTATGTATTTGTGTGTCTATATTTATAGACAAACTAGAGGTATTCCGTGTCTGAAGACAAGATGCAACATAAGTGAAAAGTGATGGATTTGGAGGGGAAGGAAAATTCAATATGAATAGTTTTGAGAGGAATGTTGATGACTGTTGAATAAGTCTATTTGAGACCGTTGGATGAGTTTATTGAAGTCTACCCTGTTTTGTATTATAGATTAAGTCATACGTAAATAATGATGGTGTATCCATATTTGTGTCTTAGTTTACAATCATGAAGTTCTTTTTAAGTTTTTTTTCTTTTTGATCATAAGAAGTTATTTTT